GCTGGACTGGTGACTCGCAATGGGCGCGGCATCCGGCCGCACGGGCGCAGGAGCACACTCTCTACGTCCTCATCAAACACATCGTTCAACCAGCGGGCCTGGTTACTACGATACAGTCGAGTCTCATGACTGACATACTTAACATGATGTAGCATAGTGTTGTCCATCGTGGAACCCAGGAAGCCATGAAACGCGTTGAAGTACGCCTCTATCTCAACTTCGGGTGCGGCAGTTGCGATAGAAGTTGTGATTAGTCGTATTCAGCCATCGTGGTACTAGGGTTTTTCGAGTTTGGTCGTAGAACGATGTGCAAGAGACATGAGCGATGCGAACCTGACGGGCAACGACGGTGACGGGCAACCTCATGCGCTATTCGTTATCACTGGTATTCAGTCAGAATAGCCAGTAGTCATGGGAGAGAGCAGTACTGCTACGAGTCATCTCCCGAAAGAACTGACGATTCTCGTGCCTCCCCTGAGATCGGGCCTCTTTACGCGTACGCGACATTACGTCAGGGACCGGGCGCGCGCGCCGCTAGCATGAGTATAAAGGGACCGCCAGTACGCTTTCCCAGGCATGCTGCGGCCATTGTTGTTCACCGCCACACGCAAGGCTGCCACGTGGCGGACCACTGCACAATAGAGGTCGTGTGGCGAGGGCATATAAGATGCTCGATGTACGCGCTGCCGTCTCTTGGTCCCGTTCCTCATCAGTGAGTCCGCTTGTGTGCCAGGAAGGCTGAAGATTAGCAGCAGGCGCGAAGTGGCGAAGGCGTAGATGACATTGGAGCGTGTTGGTGCAGCCACGGTACGCCCTCTGTCGCCCGTATCGTACAGTTCACTGACGCGCCTCGCAGGCCAATCGTACCGCAAGGTACCTTAGCTCGCGGATGGCCAACGCGCAAGGAGTGGCCGAGGACGCTGCGGTTTCTCGAGGTCCTCGCGTCGACTCGCGTCGACTCAAACGACGCAGGACGGATGGTGAACTACGCAGGCCATGATCCGACTGGCTAGTGGTCGTGGACTGTATTGTCCCGTTTGCCCTCGAAAGGGGTGGATGCGGTGCACCAAGGCCCAAGCGAGTCGAGCGCAAGACGCGAAGACTCTGCCTCGGGGTGGGCGAAGCGAGTCGGTCTTGTCACTCACAGGGGCACATCTCTATCCTTTCCCTTTCCTCCCTTTCATCTTCATCATTCCTCTTCGGCCCCTCCCTGATGGCTCGATCGACGAGTCAGCTCCCCGGCCGTCCTCTCGGCGTCGCCTGGGAAGTAGGCGCCGAGATGCGCCCTAGTGGCATACATGCATAAGCCAAGCGCGTACGGCTGCGGCGAGGGTATGTCGTCGACAGTTTGCCGACCTCGCATGTATCTGACCCTCCTCCAGATCCTCTGCACCAAGAGGCGTGAGTACCGTTCACCGTACGTACGCGAGGAGTAGCAAAGAGTCTCCGGGGGTACTAGTGCTCTCTTGTTGACTCGCGTTGCCATCGCGCAACGCTGGACGGATGGTTACTACGCAGGCTGGAAGCTGATTAGGGACCAGTCGTGGACTTCGGTCCCGTTTGCCCTCACAAGGGGTGGATGCGGTGCACCAGGGCTTAAGCGAGTCGAGCGCAAGACGCAAAAACTCTGCCTCGGCGTGGGCGAAGCGAGTCGGCCTGCTGTACAAAGGGGCACACCTCTATCACTTCCCCTTCCTCCCTTCCATCCATACTAGCCCCTCCCTGTCGGCAGGACGCGGCGAGTCAGCTCCCCGACCGTCCTCTCGGCGTTGCCTGTAGCAGGTGACGTCGAGATGCGCCCTAGCGGCGTTCATGCACATGCACCTGCAAGAGCGATCTCAATCTCTGTACGTGGCGCTTTGGCTAGGCGTGAACACGACTGACCTTCTTCGCAGGCGTTTGCGTCGAGTTGGTACGTACGTCCTCTCATCATACATGTCGTAGTATAGAGTGTACGGTGGCCCGGAGCGTGGGTGACCGAGGGCCGACTCCCTCTTGGTCGTAGGCGTTTTGGCGGTCTTGAGGGGCAACCTCGAGCCGCATTCCTGTTGTGCGCAAGACCCGTATGGGCAGGGAGCGGATACGCCCCGGATTGGCATGCAGGTTAGCCTTCACGCTCCTCCCTTCGATGGGCGGGGCCGCTGTACACAAATAATAAGATGGATTTTCATCCTTCCGAACCGCGTGAACCAGTCGTAAGATCAGACCGTAACATGTCATAGTCGGTCGACAGTCTCGATACTCGGCTGAAAGCTGACGACCTGATGACGCCGAGTCTTGCACGCTACGTCCTGGAGATTTTTGACAATGTGTACGTCTTTGCATCGCATGGTGACGGTCAGAAGAAAATCAAAGACTCGGCGACGCGCGCAGATCTTGTTGACGGACGAGCGCGCGAACAACTTGGTCCCGGACCCCCCCCCATATGCATCGGGCCAATCATATCTCCCTGTACGCTCTCCACATCGTGTATACTACACTGGGTATAGTGGACTGTATCGTACGTAGGCGTTGCTTATTTGGAGGGATTCGTCGGTGCGTGGACCAGTCGGCTTCTCATGTCTAGGGTCGTACTCACTGGAGGTTATATAGGTCGGGCTCTGACATATGCTGTACAACTACATATTGCAATGAAAGAATTTCTTTGTCAAGAATCACCTGCTATTTTGCTGCGCCAGCGCTCATCGTCAGTCCTCCAAATCGATCCGCGCCTTCCCCCTTCCCCGTCCTCGTTACGACGAAACCCCTTGCCCTTGTCCTTAGCCCGGTTATGCCGCGCCTCTGCGATCTACTACTGCCCCTGCTTCACGTCGCTATGCGTCGATGTTAGACACCCGTTGACAATGATACACGGAGGTTGCTCACGTCATCCTCTTACACCTGTTCTTCCGCCTCAGGTCGACGACAAGACGCCCAATATCTGTGCGAGAATGAGCTGACGGCATCTTAGCCCAAGTCATGACGAGGCTCACCATCCTTGCGCTTGGTGTATATCTTTGCCCATGCAAAGATTCCCCTCCGCGGGTCCTTGATACCAATCAACGCCTTCCCGTGCGAACGGAGATGGACCACCTACAAAGTCCATCCATTGCTCCGGCTTCCTCATGTCAGTGCCGGAAGGCTTGCTCGCGACATATCGTACCATCGCGCGTATCTCGGCTTTGCTGGGACATGTCGCGAGCTTCATCTGCACCCCCAGTGTCGGCCGTGCAGGCCGAGAGGAAGTCGACGCTTCCTGTTCTTCAAGTTCGTGAATGGTCGGCTTGATGTCCTCCTCGTCATCGCTCATCGTCAAGTCAATGGTCTCACGCTCTTCGCCCGTCGCGATGTTGACGGGGCGATCCTCCTCCTTGACTGGTGCAGGGGGTGGATCCTGTCGCAAATGGTGTATCAGAAACGGCTCTGTTATACAGAGCATTTGAAAGTCTAACCTGGGTGCCGATAACTGTAGAAACCGCCTGAGCCTCGTGTGGCGGGTAGCGCTGAACAGCTGGCGCCGCTGATGGCTGCTCTGGTGTCGCATCCTCAACCTCTGCCGGTGGCGCGACGTTGAGGATCGTGAGGTTGGTGATGTGCGGCTGCACGAGTATCGGACGAGTTGATGGGCGCACTACGCCCCTCATAACGAGTATGGCGGTCCCAGCCGCGTCCTGCTCTCGGATGGCCCACAATAGCTCGCCGCGGCGAGGCTCCGCGCCTCGCCAGCGGACGAGGTAGAGGGGTTTGTTGATACAAGGCTGATTAGGACGGAAGACATCGAGGCCGGCCCGGAAGCGTAGGATGGCGATCGTGGTATCGACCACACGCTGTTCGTAGCGAACGAGCATTCCATTGGCGAAGTCATCGGCGTGGTAAGGGGCGTATGCTGTCGAGACGATCATTGGGGGAGACATGCTGGCAATCGATGGCGATCGGTGAAGCTGAAGACGATGAGACGAAGGATAGAAGACGTACCTCGGAGTGGTGATGAGATACTGTTCACAAACTTGACGTACGGCGAATTTATACTATCATATAGGCAGCTGAGGTATAGGTAACGCCTTCATGGTCCGGCAACGTTTTTTGCTGTCCTTTGTCGTAGGGATATCGCACTTCGAGCATTGCGCGCAGATCAGCTTCTCTAGGAACGCACATCTACACGTGCATGAGAACTTTGCACGGCTTGCTTTGTTCAACGCGCGGAGACTGCCGTGCATACCGTCCTCCAAGTGAGGTGTCATAGCAGCTCTTATCAAGATACTGGGTCACAGGGCACGAACGATGCGACGATCCAGCACTAGCGCGCGACTTCATCACGCTGAGGACAAAGCAAGTCGGCATCTTCCGTGGATCTGCGCTCTCTATTGAGCAAAGTGTCGGAAGTTTGCGTGCTTCTTGAGCCCTGCGGTATAGGGAATTGGCCGGAAGATAGTTCATAGGATGATCAGAGTCGGTAGAGCACTCTACGGCCTGGCGCATTACTGTGTGCACACATGTTCAAGAGACTCGTCTCGGTCGGCGGCGATAATGTGACTGCTATAGCAGCTAATCTTTGAGCTCTTCATGTAGCGCGTATAGCACTTTAGTAGCTGGGTGTTATCACAATGCACTGAATATCGTACGGCTCTTTTGCAGCCAAGAAATGGGCAAATCCGAGACCTCCTGAGTGTGAGAACGACCTATCGCGCTACCGGCTCGCGCTCCGTCCGCCCCCTTCCCTTGCTCCCTTCTCCCGTCCTCTATTCCCCGCCCCTTCGACAGTCCCCCTCCGTCGATTCCCTTGCCGCTTGATGGCCCCTTCTCCTTCTTCCCGTCTCTCATGCCCGTCAACCTGTTGCGGCATAGTCTAGATTAATGAGGTCAAATATAAAATGTTGCTCTGCCGAGCCCAAGCCATCCCCAGCCCCCGCCTTCCTTCGCTGAACCTCGTGCGCTCTCTTGTCATCCTTAGCAGCATTTGCCCCATCTCAAATACCTCTAGATACCATGGACTCTGCTACGGCATCTGCGACCACGCACACTCTCGTGCACTCGGGCCTCACACCTGTCCCGAGCTCGATCCTCAAATGTACCGCGGTGCGGTGCATCGCCGGCAAGACGTTCTTCGACCTGCATAACCCTGATGGGCTGCTCTCTACGATTGAATACATTGCCGGGAACGTCCTTGAGAAAGGCGACATGGTTAGATGTGAACGTCGTTCGGGAACGTACATCGCCCTGAAGCTCAAGCACGGTGTATCGTCAGCGATGCCGATTCCCTCCAAGCTCGACCGGGTCCTCGCTTTGTGCGCTGCGTATGGTGAGTCCGAACGAAGTGCTATGCTCAAATGCCATTGTCTGACGTCCGACAGTATCTATGGAAGCGGGAACCGATAACTGAACTACGTACATGAATCGTGAGCACGTGTATCTCACCATCATTCGTCAATAACTGACGGGTACTGGCGAACCCAGCCCGATCTGCACTCCTGTCAGCCAGATGCCGTATAGCACGGAGCATATCATACTGCAGTGAACCTCTTTCGGATACTTGTCAGGATGTCCCATGCGCTCCGCGTCAGTATTGAGGAGTATGAAACTGAACCCCGTATTGATGTGATCAACGCCCAACGGCTATCGATGAATAAGCCTTCCCATTCTCACTCGTCAGAGAAGCCTGCCTCTTTCGGTACAATGGAGGAGATGCGTATGCCGGTGCAGTGCTGCTACACCTTCACTCCGCCCCTTCCTAGCGTTGTTGAGGATATTCGAGTGCTGTGAGCTCCAGGCACGCGCTACTTGTCCTACTTCGGACGTCCGCGTTGTAGTGCTGTCCACCAGCGGGAACACGCATGGCGGGTCTCGAACTTGACGCACTCGACCATAACACCTCATCAGCGCATCACTGCCGCGCTGTTCCGCCGGGCCAATCCCGATGCCAAACGGGCTAGAAATGGCTACATGCTCACGAGTCACTACAGCCACTAGAGCGAAATCGTTGACAGGTTTAGGCGCTGACGAGCGTACAAAGAGCGGCCGACCCACAACATACACCCACAGCGACCTGCTTCCCACTTTCACTTCTCCGAGGTCGCCACCTTTTCTTGTTCGGTTTTCCGGCAATGTCCAACTATCTTTATTTTGACCAATCTTTCGATTTCGCCGGCCCAACGCTCTCTTCCGGCCTTCCTTTCGCTTCCAACGACGAAAAGTCACAGTATGTGTTGCAAAATTGTCGACTGACACATGTTCCTAACATGCTATACCCTCAGAACAAGCCCACACTCCGTGTACGAACTTTGCTTTACAGTGTCAGCTCAACTAACTCCAGATCATTCAGCCTCGCCGATGTTCGCGTTCCAAGCTACGACTCTCTTTACGATCGCCATCCGCCGCTCGGACCATCCTCTACTTCGTAAGTCTGTGGCCAATGCTTTGCCTATACTTGCTCACAATCTCTGGCAACAGTCGTTTACCTTACCTCAACAAGAATAGTGTTTTCCGACAACCGACTGATCTGCTCCCGCCTCTTCTCAAGCCTGGGAAGAGTAAGCCTGGCGCTGGTCTGTATCTCGGCCGCGGCTCTCTTCCGTCGTACAGGTGTGTAACGCAGCGGCTTTTGTTCCACCCGTGGCTCATACCCGCTAGTGTATGTGCAGGCGACGACCTCTGGGATGTCGCCCGTCAGCGCACGCCGTCTGGTGAGTGATGTTCTTCGTTCCACGACGGAGTGACGCTGACGAGACGTACAGCCGGCTTCGACTCACCTCCGCTCCCTCTCACTCCGCTCCCAAAGTACGAAGCTCAGGTTCCTGTCAACCATGGGCCGGGCCCGCGCGTCGGGAACAAACGCAAGGCACTCCTGGTACGTCTTCCTTTTCCCACTTCCCCGACAGTCCTGACGCGACGCGACGATTGCAGATCGGCATCAACTACTACAACGCAGCCGGGCGTAAACCACAGTTGAGAGGCTGCGTCAGAGATGCACACAACATGCGACAGCTCCTCATTCGTGAGTCTACCTCGCAGTACATCCTCATGCAGGCTCGTTCTCAACGCGTTGCACATACACCACAGAACGCTTCGGGTATCGGCCGGAAGACATGATCCTGCTAAGCGACGAACCGACCCAGAGGGACTACAGACTTCGGCCTACCAGGGATAACATCATACGCGCTATGCAGTGGCTTGTTCATGATGCGCGCCCTGGAGACTCGCTCGTCTTCCAGTACGCTGGTCACGGCGATCAAGTTCCTGATGAAGATGGCGACGAGGAGGATAAGCTGGACGAGGTCATTTGTCCCGTTGACCACGAGGAGAATGGTGTCATTGTCGATGACGTGCGTACAACTACCGTTCGGCGAACATTGACGTCTATCTGACACCCTTATACAGCAACTTCACGACTACTTGGTTAAGCCACTCCCTGCGGGCTGCCGCCTCACCGCCATCTACGACTGCTGCCACTCCGGTACTGCCCTCGATCTGCCGTGCACCTATACGCGCGATGTCGAACGCGGGATCCTCGGCTCTAAGAACATGTACGCGATGGGCACCAAGACGAGCCCAGCGGACGTCATCTGCTGGTCTGCTTGCGCAGACTGCGAGCAGGCCGCGGACACCAAGAAGACCGGTGTGATGTCGCAGGCGTTCATCTCGGCTTTGTACGATGGGCGCGAGCACAGCCTCCAGTCGCTGTTCATGGCTGTTGATAACGCCATTCGCGCGACTCCGAACGCGCGCTTCTCGCAGAGGCCGCAACTGAGCGGGTCGCATCCGATAGTACGTCACCAGTATCGTCCTCGATGCGACAAGCTTACGGGCTACTAGGATATTACTCGGAAGTTCACGATGTGAGATCGGGGGGTTGGGGGCACTCTTTGATTTATTACTTTATTTATAGGGATGGGTCATCAGCATCTTAATCTAATGACAAGATCCTATCGATATGATGGCGAAACTCGCGGGCTATGTTGTTCATGAGCTACGGCCGGCTCCTACCTCAAAGCTAGCTGCCGGTCCAGCATTCGAACGCCCTGCGGGCGTCTCCAGACTCCGCTGCCATTAAACCCGCCATCATTTTCGTTCAGGTCCTCTCACGCGCGCATCCATAGGTATAGATTTGTCTACCAGATGCTACATGGTTGCCGCTATCATCTGCCTCATCCCGATGATTCTTTGGAGTGCACGACCAAAGGCAGATGCACTTTTCGATCAGCTTGTGCGTATGGATGGTCCGCAGATGTACTAGCTAGTGTTCATCGATATCTATCAGGGCGCATCATACGCTGCGGGTGTGATGGTGGCGTCCGAGGACAATGGAGACAAAAGGAGGACAATCGGCAAGTGGCGGCGAGTAAACAACGACAAACATTGATGTGGTTGATCTCTGACCGTATAAAGCTGCCTTCTGGGCGCGGCCTCGCCGTCTTCCCCCGCCACTTTGTCCTCCCGCGCTCGTCTTGCTTTCCTTTCTGTCGTTGCTCCTCGGTATGATGTATCAAGTTACGCACTGATGAATGCGGTTTATAGGTGTAAGAACTGGGCCGACAATTGATCGCCGCGCCACCGAGGTGCGTTGACTTGATCCTACGCCTAGAAAGAGTTCTTACACCTTTCGCCCACGCAGCGTGAACAATTCCATATGGCAGGAGCCATACGAATGAGAGAGTGTTAACGCTTACCGAAGGGCCGTCCGGCCTCAGGTAGTGGACTGCGGTCCCTTTTCGACGTCCTAACCGGCGCCGGGATGCGGGGTACTCGGGCTTCGCCAGCCTCGGGTGAGTGAAAGCTCACTCGGCCATTCGCCTCGACGACAATGCGGGTTGTCGCGAGATGCGCTCTAGTAGCGCGACCGTGCGCATCGGTTTCCCTTCAGTACGTATCATCGCGCATATTCACCATTCCACGTTTATTCAAGTTCATATAGTATCGCAAATGTGTACTTGTTCGACCTGGCCCTCGAATTGACGTGGGGAGATAACTGACCGTGCTGGGATTCCTTCACGGTCAGCCTCGCGCTCAGGCGCACAGCCCAAAGGCAGCACGGTGGCTACTGCTGTCCGAACGAGGGGTGCTAACGCTTGCCGAAGAGCCGTTGGGCTTCAGGTAGTGGACTGCGGTCCCGTTTCGGCGTCCTAACCGGCGTCGGGATGCGGGGTACTCTAGCTACGCCAGCTTCGGGTGGGTGAAAGCTCACTTGATCGTTCGCCTCGGCGACAATGTACGGGACAATTCACCGCCTTGTACATTGTCAACGAGATGCGCTCTAGAAGCGCCTCTATATCGGCGTCACGATGTTGTACGAGTGAGTCGTCCCTGCCGACCTAGACAGCCTGTATCTAAACCTTGGTTAGCATTGTCGACGACCGCACACTCGCTGGCCCTCGAACTGACGTGGGGAGGATCACCTGGCATGCTGGGATTCCTTCATGTCAGGCCCTCGCGCCCAGGCGCACAGCTCATGACAGCCGATGGCTACGCGCTGTCCGGGCGAAGAGCGCTAACGCTTGCCGAAGAGCCGTTGGGCTTTAGGTAGAGGACTTCGGTCACGTTTCGGCGTCCTAACCGGCGTCGGGATGCGGGGCGCTCTGGCTGACTTTGGTTAGCCTCGGGTGGGTGGCAGCCCACTTGGTCGTTCGCCTCGACGACAGTGTATGAGGTATACGTCACTGCCTCACGCATTGTCAACGAGATGCGCTCTAGCAGCGCGGGGGGTCGTTTTCGGAGATGTTTCGTCGTGTCGCGTATCACTCATGGATGAGTCCGATGAGCCCGGAGCATGGGTGACCGAGGGCCGATTCCCTCTTGGTCGTAGGCGTTTTGGCGGCTGCGAGGGGAGACCTCGGGCTGCATTCCTACATCGCGCAAGATCCATTTGGGCAGGGAGCGGTTACGCCCCGGTATGGCGTGTAGGTTAGCCTTCTTGCTCCCCCCTTTGATGGGCAGGGTTGTCAGCTATTACGAGCGCGAAAATACGATCATTTTTGTCTACTGCCAGTAGCAGTCAATTCATGTGCGATGATGAGACATCATCTTAAGAGAATACTCCTACTCGAGCGTCTACTGAGACTCATAGTGAGTCTCTGGAGTGTAAGGATGACCAGCGTGTTCATGGTTCACCGCTCTCATCACACTCTGAACTGTGGCAAGAAAGTGCTCCAATTAACGAAGTCTGTACATGAAATTGGCAAACTATAACGACTCAGTAGATCTCAGTCCCCTGCCTTCCCTTCATTCGGAGGACGTCCGGTCCAGCGCTTCACTCGACCCTTCCCTCTACTCAAGGAAGTCCTAGCTCCGCGCGTAGCTCATTAGCCTTTCCCTCGATCTCTGTTGCACGCCTTCGTTAACGGACATCTCCAACACTCCGGAGAGACTGACCTTCTCGGTTGTTCAGGTAGATCCTGACCCAGCTCTTAGTTGATCGGCTCTTGTACTGTGACGAGGTGAGCCTCCAGATGCGACGGAACAATTTAGTCAGTTCACTCACGTCTTTCTGCTTGCGGAACTCCGCCCATGCTATAAAGTAATCACCTTTGAAAGAACGCCCCTTCTTGACGATATACACCGCCATGTCATGCCGCTCATCCTTTGTTGACCGGCGACCATGTGGCTGACGCAACCTTCCGCAAGGGCATCTATACTGCCTTCGTGACGCCAAAGATGAAGACGTTGATATGGGCTGTGTGATTTTGGAAGGAGCCACTGTGCCGGTAGTGGTCTTCATCGGGAATACCTGCGAAAGAGGGATATCCTCGTCGTCGGCATCGTCGTCTTGAGGCTTGTCCTGTTCGCCTTTGGCGCTCTCTTCATCGTCCGTGTCCACGAGCTCGATAGCACTCGCCACAGAGGTGCCGTCGCGGACACCGACCGGTTTACTATCCATGTCCGACAGATCCGACGGCTCCATCGTCGTGTCCTCCGCTTTGGGTACGGCTTTGTTGGGTCCTGCCGCAAAGTCATCGACGCGTAGTACCAACTCAAGATAGCCACCCTTGAAACGTGCAAGCCGCAAAATGTCTCCCAGCTGCGGAATGAAGCCCACGTAGGTCTCTGCGCGGCAGGTATATGGCAGGTCGACAGCTAAGCAAGCGCAAGGAGGATGCGGATCAGTGGGATCTCGCTGATGGGAAAACGGAAGTGTACTCGCCTTGACCTCCCGCGAACTCGTAGACGAGCGCAAACACAAGACATCCGTTCTTGGTAGTACTCTCGAAGCGAAGCAGCCCTCCCTCCTGAGGGACGTGGCCGGAATATGTCAGAGCGCGTAGCGTAGGCGTGGCTGAGCGAAGGAGGTTCTAAGGCTATCGTTCCAGAATATGTACGGAATGCACTCACAGATATGCATGGATATATTGTGGCAGTGGTGATAAGGCCTGACGAGGATAATGTTGCGTGTCGTCCAAATAGTCGAAGCATGAGCAGCTTATATTCAGCACGATGAAACACTTCGAGTCGTGCAGATCAGCCATGCCATGAGAGACGCGCGCATACAGAAGTACATATGCGGTAGATTCAGCCGACGCCGGATGTGCAATTCTTCTGTCAACCAGTGTTCAAAGCGGAAAACGATGCGCGACCGCCCCAAAACGTGGCGCGCACCGCGATAAAGTAGAACGGAGTGGGCATACGTCCGTCCTTTTACAAACCGCGGCAGCGGGAATATATCTCCCGGTGTAGTCATCTGCAGATCTAGCGAAAAACTTGATGGCGCCCATTATATTCTGAAAGATGGAAGCTCTGGGCGGCATCATCAAGCGACGGTCGAACAAGCGGCAGTATACTTTGCACAAACGCAAAGCTGGCACAGTCAAACGCATGGGGCTCTGAAGTAATGCAAGAACGAGTCACGCCTCACCAACGACTTCACGAACGATAACATTTTCGCTCGGTAGTGTACGGTGCATTACCCTGAATACCCCACACGGTGGTAGTTGAGGAATGCACACAAAGCACCGCCCGCCCGTTCCATTCCATCAGATGCGTGTAGCACTTCCATTGCTAGTACTGTTGGGCGTCTCTAAGCGACTCGGAATACGAGCGGGAACCACGGCCACAGTAACGGCGAACTCGACGCTCCATACTCAATCGTGGCATGGCAGCATGCGCCGCTATAGCTGCCTGAGCGGCCGTCTTCGTGGGGGAGAGCACGACTGGCGTCTATCACCTCGCCAAGCGCGTTTGGTCGGTGAGGTCACGTAGACTCGTGAGACGTGGTTTGCAGTGGTGGGAGAAAGCAAGGTGCACCAGCCGTTCGCCTGAGAGCCGCTCCATCACGGAAAATGCCGGCGCGTCTGTTCGCGTCGAAAACGGGCTATCGACCGTGACGCCGACCTCCATGGGAGGTACAGTACATATCCTGTATGTGTTCGACTGCACCTGAAGTCAGGAATACTGCGAGAGAGACTGATGCCTCGCATCCAGTACTGATTGTTTTCGCGGCCACGCCATGTTCCTCGAACCCAGTCAATCTTACCAGCACCTCGTCCCTTTCACGCTATCCTAACTTCCCCAGTACTCTAGTTTATCTGAACCCAGTTCTTATTCGTCCTCCTTACATGTTATACGACACTATCCGTCTTGTTATCATCAAACCTCCGCCGTCGCAACGGTATACATATTGGGATCCTCAAGTGGTTCTCTTACCTGCATGGATCAGTCCGAGCTTGCGAGAATGATGACATGACAACCGTGCTGTCAAGTTCACTGATCTAACCGCGACGATTGTATGACTGTTAGTCGTTACAGGATGATGTAGCAGGGAATATCGAGATTCGTTGAGTAGTGATGCAAGCCTCTATCGGCGGCTTATGTATCCCTCGCCGACAACAACCGGGCGGTACTAGCCCGCACAGTCTTACGAGCGGCCCGTTTCTTCGCTCGGCCTATGTCGTAAATTCTCTCCTCGATCTCTGCGACAAAACGACATCAGCACCTAGCCCATATAGGTTCACTCGATCTCACCTTCTCTGTTATGCTGGTACACACTCACCCAGCTCGTCGTCACGCGTCTATTGTGCTGGAATCATGCAGCATCAGCCTCAATTGCAACCAACGAAGGAGTGCGTCAACCCACGTATTTGATCTTGCGGAACTCTACCCACGCCTCGGGATGCGTGAAATCGGTCATGGGATCTTCGCTGAAGATGTATAGCGCCATATCAAATTTCTCGTCTTTCGACGGTCGAGTTGGGAGAGGGCGTGTGGATGCCCTGGAAGCACGTCCGTGCTGCGTCTGCGATGTTGACGCCGAAGATGCAGCCCGACCGACAGCAGGTTTGGCATGGATGAAACCAACCTGACCACCCGAGGGCTTGACAGAAACGAGCCGACGAAAGGGCGAAACATCGTCATCTTCGTCGTCGGTGTCCGTGTCCGTGAGTTCGATGGCGCAGTCTACAGAAGCACCAAGCACGTTCTGCGGGGCGGCTTGTTGCGTAGACAGATTCAGACCTTCCTTCATGACCTTCGAGACTTCGGGTTGGACGTTGGGCGTTCGGCCATTCGGTGCATCAACGTTCCCTTCTGCGTTTCCTTCAGGACGAACGAACAAGAGATAGCCGTCCTGGAACCGTTCGAAGCGCATGAGATCCTCTTCCTCCGGAATGTATCCTTTGTAAGTTCGCGCGCGAAGAGTAAGGGCCTCCGCGCCTGAGATCATGAAGGCAAAGGTACCGAAGCTCAGTAAAAGATTGTAGTCTCGAATCAGCTACAGCTCACCTTGAGTGTTGTCCTGTCCCTCGTTGGTGCACACAAACTCGATATACCCACTCCTGAACCCCTTGAAGCGCATGAAACAACCCTCTTGTGTGACAACGCCGGAGTAAGTAAGAATGAGCAGCGAATACGCCACATTGAGGATATCTGTACAGATCAGATCATTAGGACACTAGATATGGAGAGAAGGGAATGAGTTGTCGGACGTACGTTGAGGCATGGGTGTGTCGACCGGAGATTGAAGTTCAGCGAGGATTGTGATAACGAATGCAATCCGTGAAGCCAAAGCTCGAGCCCCCTTTATTTACGTCCTGAATCAACTCGAGATGAGCGACCCCACACAGAGCGTGAGAGACCCGCGTATCCGGAAGTACATGCGCGGTTGGCTCTCCCGGTCCCGAATGTGCGATCGCTCTGCCTAGTATACTTCGATGAAGTGTCGTGCAGTCGAGCCCAAAAACTCGGCGCGCTCACTGACAACGAAGGGCGGAGTCGGCAGACGTTTCATCTTTTCGCGCGGTGCTGCGACGGGCGCAGAGAATCCGGTGGTGTCATTTGCGGTTTGTGCGAAGAATCTCATAGCGCTCAATATCTTTCGAAAGATGGAAGCTCCACTGAGCGCCACCTTCGAAAGTCTGTGGAATGGAGGCGATTGGCGTTGTACATTGCATGCGGCCAGGGATAGGCATTGGGGTGTCTATAACCTGTTTCAGAAAGTTGAGTCGAGCGGCGCCGATGCGAGAGGAATTGCCACTCAACGAGGTGTAACGGCCTCGACCGAAGCTTGGCAAGCGTTCAGAAGGTGTATTCTAAAGCTATCAAGAGGACACCTTGCCATACTCCAGTATCCTATATAGCGTTAAGTATCCGCGATGGCTCTTTGAGTACAGCACTCGAGTGGTGTCCCAGCTAATCGGAACGTAGACGGAGAAGGCGAACTTCGTGAGGCCCACGTCCATGCGGGGAGCGAGGGCAGACGCCGGCAGCATTGCCTTCTACAGGAAGAATGATAGATATCCCCTAGTTACCATGCAGTCAATGTGAATATCACATCAGGTTGCATCGACGCCATAGAGTTACATAAACCAAGGACCGTTCGCAGTGGTGGGCGAAAGCAAGCGCGCGGCACGGCACCGCTACTCGCGGATCACGGGAGATGCCGATGCGCCCAGGCCCCAGAGTGAACCCTGACCCGGCTTGATCTCGACTTTCCAACATGGTAAAAACATATGCGCGAGTGGTGCTTGGACAGACTGCCACGCCTTATTAGAAGCTATGACAGTTCGTGTCACTCGCTCGTGGTCGAAGCACGACTCCGCCCGTCAGCCGCGGCTCGGGCGTGGGACTCATCCCCGTGGCCAGCCCGAGGCGAGTGGCACCGGCGCGCGACGCATTTCTCCGCCACGACGTATATTCCAGCTCTCGTAGACTTGCATTCTTGCTACCACGGATGGTACTGTATGCTTTCAAAAGCTTCGTTATATCTTTCTAGCCCTATATGCGGTCGATCACCCTCTCGAGGGAGTTAGATCAAGCGAGAAGCTGTCTCCCACCGTAAGCAAGGACTCTCGTGATCTGCTATGTAGCGAGTTTCGCGTGTATGCTGCTAGTGCACAATGATACCAATGCTCAAGATGCAATGCTCAGGGAGAACATGATCTACTGGTTCTTCCCCTTATCGAACCTCTCTCTCCTCTCCCTCTCGACCTTCCGCTGATACTCCCTCACCGCCTCCACAGGACTATCCTCAATCAAATCCGACTTCTTGTCAATCTCTACACCCACACATCAGCCTCTACCCACCACCACTCGTCTCACAGAAAGCACTCACTAGACCACTTGGGCAGCCCATCCGGAACGTCCACCGCCCGCTGCTCGTAAAAAATATGACACCTCGGCCTAAACCGCTCCCTGTCCTCTTTACTCTTCATCTTGACCAAGCTCGGGAATACCAATATCATATTCCGCCCCTCGTCCATGATGGGCGAGTGGCAGAACGAGCAGCGGACTTTGCACGGGAGGACGTGGTCGACGGACTTGGAGGAGGGGTCGTACCACTCGAGCGCGTGGTGCCCGCGCGTGAAGTTGATGTCTTCTTTGTGGAAGATCGCGGCCCATTGGAAGGGCGCGGCTATATAGTAGAGAGGGGGAGGGTGTTAGTGCGGTGCGGTGTGAGGGAGGATGGGAGGAGGAGGGAGGAAGTACCGTGCTGCGTCTGGCACGTCGTACAATGACACAACTTCGAGTCCAGCGGCTCCTTGCGCGACAGCTGGTAATGCACGCGCCCGCAGTGACACTCCGCCTCGTACCTGCGCCGTGCCCGCTCCGTCAGACCCTCCAAAACACAAGGTTAGAGGCGAAGGCGCACTTGACGTCGAACATATCATTCGGCTCGTGAATTCTATACGGCGCGCGCGTCTTCCACTCGTGCTTCCCCTCCGTCGAGTTCTCCAGCTGATGCTCGTGCGGATGTTCGCCCTTTGCCAGATGCGTCTCGTCGTCGCCCGTATCGTTCCTCTCCGCCGTTTCTTCCTTGGTTTTCTGGGTGTAATGCGGGTCTTGAGACATTGTGAGGCTGAGAGAGATGGCGGTATGAATCAGACCCTCGATTTCGAGTTTTAGTCTATGGTTCTAGCGCCCGTACTCGCGCCCATCTGGAGTCGAAGCAGCCTCTTCGCGCTGATTGACGTCATGCGCGTCGTCGCAGCGCGATGGCGCGCGCCGCCGGCGCCAGCGCGATGTGGGTGGCGCGGGGATGACACGTGAGCGCGTATCGGGAGCGCCCATGGGCGTCTACACCGCTCCATCCCAAGGGAAGAGCGCAAAACAACAACGATGATAGTCTACGTGCAACTTGAACGAGAACAGCGTAGGCAATGATACAGAATGATGCAAGCACAGTCAAATCAACAACACTACACAAGGATGCATAGCCGATGCGACTGTAAACAGCGAAACAAACAAACAGGCAGGCAGTAACACTATACTCAAAAACGACAGTACAAGCCCCAAGATCAAAGTACATCGCGACGCAGCATCGATCGACTCTCCCGTACCCAGCTTGGCAGGAAGAGGAGACGCGCGCGCGGGGTTGATGGATCGGGGAACGTGTATGGTACAGGTGGAAGAGAAGCAGACACCCTTCGCCGGGGCGAATGTAAAGGGGGTGCCGCGCGCGTAACTCGTTCGCTTCGCCGTGCTGAGCGGAGAAGAGAGCGAGTTGTTCGTCGGTGGAAAGCGTGCATCATCGCGGGATCCGTCGAGGGATCCGGCGATAATGTCGTATACGACCGCAGATCAAGTCCTATCTCCTTCAAGTTGAAAGGAGATGGGCGGGATCTGCGGGCTTGGGCAGTCTAGGTGTGGTTGTCAAGTTGTGATGTTGTTGTGATATGGTTGTGTCGCGTTCGACGCGAGCGACGAGCAGCCCCGCGCTCTCCTCTCCTCTCTCTCTCCTCCCTCCCTCCCTCCATCCTCCTTCTCGATATCCTCAAACGCGCCATCCAGCGCGCCCCCGATCTCAAGCGACGATCAAATCCGTCGCGAACCGGTCCATCTTCTCAATACTAAACCCCGCCTCCCTTCCAAACTCCCTCGCCCAGCTCCGGCTCGTCCCGCCCTCCCACGCGTGCAGCTCCACCTACCCCCTCCTCATCAATTTCCTGTGACAATACCCCGAGTAGAATAAGAGACCACGTACCTTCCACTTCCGCCTCAGCGCCAACCTTACACACCCCCTAAACCCATCCTCATTAAACTGCCCGGCATTCCCATCTCCCGTCGCAAGCACAATCGTCGATCCGGGCGGGGGAGGCGTGTCGCCTTGGGCGGCTAGGGCCTGGTGCAGCTTGAGCTGCAGCAGCTCGTCGACGCCCTGCTCGCGGTAGCGGATGCGTGCTGATGAAGGCGAGGACGTGCCCGATGCCGGATTCGAGTTCGAGTTTGAGGCGAGGGCGGCGGCGGCGGCGGCGAGGGAGGCTGAAGACGCAGGGATCGCGATCGGCGCAGTCTTGCCTGTGCCGATACCCGCGGACGCAGACGAGTCGGATTCCTGTATCACGCCGCTCCCGACGCTCACGCCGCGCCGATGCCCGCCCCCGTTCTTCCGCCCCCGCTCAGGCTCCGCCCTCCGCGGGCTCTCAACGCCCGTCTTCTTCCCTCCCTCCCCAACAGCAGCAGTAACAGCGGCCGCCTTCCGCGGACTGTCCACCCCAACCCCACCCCCACCC